GTAGAAGAAATAACGACAAGGATAAAAGAAAGAAGGTAAGAAAGAAAGAATTAATAAAATTGGTTAAGTGAAAGAAAGAAAGAAAGAAAGAAAGAAAGAAAGGGAAGATTATGAGGAAAGATAGAAGATCTGATAAACTAAAGAGAAAATGGAAAAGGAATCGTTAATGACACGGACAGAAAGAAAGCAATTTTTAAAAAAGAATTATGAAGTAATGTCTCTAAAAAGCAAAAATGCTTCAAGTTAAAAGAACAAAAGAAAGAAAGGAAGGACCAACGGAAGGAAAAAAGAAAGAAAAAACGAAAGAACAGAAAAACAAATAAAAACGAAAGAAAGTTGTAAGAAGAAGAAATCTGAAAGAGGGGGGCAGATAAAGAGAGAGATAGAGATAGTGTAGGGGGATTACAAGATGGTAACCCGTAAAATATAAAAGAAGAATCAAAGAATAAATTATAAAATGGAAGAAAATATATGAAAGACTGCATGTGAGTAGAAAAGACAAAATCGAAATAAATTTCGCAAGAATCTATTTTTAGTAGAAATAAATAAGATTTTAGAAAAAAAAATGAAAGCCAAATTCAGTTAATATTTTATGAAATCAAATAAGAAATAATAGGATAATGAAAAATAGGCAAAGAAAGAAGAACGTAAATGTTGTAGAAAAAAGAAGAACGGTAATAAAAAAAAAATATGAAAGAGAAGTGACAATGGTCGCTAAAATGATGGCGTCCAGTAGAGAAGGAGGATAAAAGTGAAAAAAAAACAAAAAAACAGACAAGAACGGAGGACGAAAGAAAAAAAAAAATAAAGATATGTGAGACGTTAGCAAAAGTAAATCGGAGCTAAATGCGGAGCCCGTGAAAAATAGATACTGAATGAAGGAATTATACAACGTTCGGATAGCGAGAGAAAAGAGAAATCTTCAAAGAGAGCCGGAACGAAAAAAAGAAAGACAGAAATAAAGAAAAGAAGAATGAAAAATTTCTTGGCAATTTAATCTGACGAGGTAAGTATTAATGTGAAATTGAAAAGTGAATTTAATAAACAAAAGACAAAAAGAAGAAAAAACTGCAAATTTAAGCAGAAAAACGGTAAATGAATTTTTCTGAGACAAAAAAAAATAATTAAAAATAATTAAAAAAATAATTAATAAAACTGAAAAGAAGAAAAGCGATAAATAAATGGGAAAGAACAAGTGACGTGGCAGTCGACGGAATGAAAAATACAAGAGGAGAACTAAAGTGCATAGTGATTAAATGAAAGAAACATGATTAAAATGATCAGAAGCAAAAGGAAAAAATGTATTTCGATAAATAAGAAGTAAAAGAAAAAATAGAAAGAAAGAATAAAAATTCTTGAAAGTTATCAAGAAAAAGTAGATAACAGCATAGACTAAAAAAAAGAAAAAAGAATTCATTTACCCTACATTCTAACACCACCATTTTTCCCATTCGCTTTTCATGCACTTTTTTATTGCGTGCTGCAAGACAGACCCATTGATAGTCCAAAGAAGTATCTAAATAGTTCCCCTTCATGAAACCATTTCCATGAAAACGTGATTCTTGTGATAACAGAATATTGAAATCTCGTTACCATTTGGAAATACATCAAATACCCAAGAAATATCCCTTAATGGAATTTTCTAAAAAAAAATAAAATAAAATAAAAAGACAAAAAAAAATACAAATATTGCCTTCAAAATATTGCTTTAACATATGCATGTACACTTTTTTTAAAGCAGGTATTTTATGTTGGGTGTAAGTTATTTTGAAGTTAACATTAATATGTCAGTTCCATTTGGGAGTTCTTAGAATGATTTCGTTTATACCAAGTTGATGTTAAGCATTTATACAATATATATATATATATATATATATATATATATATATATATATATATATATATATTAGTAATAATAGAGTCGCGTTATGTCTTTGTGAAACATGTACGAGGCTTGTTCACAAACTAGTTCGTGTTCTTATCTAATTACCCCATATTTGATTGTCAAGCATAGCAAAACGAATGAAAAAGAATCTCAGAATTCCAAAGCTATTCCTTCACATATTCAACTTCATTCTCGGTCATAATATGAGAGCCTGCATAATGTAATGCTTCTTCGTCAGTAATTACAACATATGTAAATAGAAGAAACATGGTTGGCATGCAAATCTTTCAGCATCACAAATCAAAGTATCAGCAGAGACACGTAACTCAACTTTGAATGTAGCCGCGTAGACTCGTCTCATTTAATGTTCTATTTCATTTTAGTCTTGTCAATGCACATCATTCACTTCCTCATCAATAGAGATCCGATAGGTAACAACTTGCATGGGCCCAACACAAATTTGCTCATGCTCTTAGGGTGCCATCAGCTTCTGCACATTTATGAAATCTATCGTCATACTGGGGACCCTATTTACACAGATTAGCCAAGACACTGGACTAGTTAGCATTCATTAAATGGCTCAGCAGATATTTCAGAGATCTTAGTAGTTGTGATTCCATAAGGAAAGGATCAACCTCTCTAGGCATATCCTTATTTACAGCAGCAATTAATCTGCCACTAAGAAACGCGTCACTAGGGTCAGTTTTTCACTGTATCATCTTGTTACTCTGCGTACATCGATTATAGCGTACTGACCAGACAAGCTCCAATCGAGATTGGCATCAAGAAATAGATGAATTCGCCACACACTTGGCAAGCGTGCTTCTAGTGTCACCAGCAAACCCTTGGCTGGAATCCAGAAGGGAAGCGAAATTGGATCGAACAAAACAGACGTGGTACATAAGTGTTGATGCAGACATGAAGGCAGTCGGAAAGACATAGGCCAAGCTGAAGAGGATCGCCCAGAAGCGCGTCCGTTGAAGAGTTGTTGTTTAGCCCCTATGTTCCCCAACAAATCAAGAAGCTTAACACGCATCCCTTAATCAACCCGGCCTGCTTTGTGACTCTCAATATCGTATCAACATTTGCCTTTTCTTCTGCCTCCATTTACATACGCTAAAAATGAAACTAATGAAACAATTGGTTATTAAATGATGAATAATTTTCGAGAAGTACAATTTATAGGGTTTGATTACCAGAAAAGGGGTGCGTATTATGCATGAGTAAAAGCATTTTCTCACACTTTCAGCAGAATTATAGGTGTGCGTATTATGGATGAAGGTGTGTTATGCTATTTAATTAAGGTTCGTTTTTTTTGTTTTTTGATTAGGATCGATTTCAGAAGTTGTAGTCGTTTTTTTGCAATTGTTTTTGTAGAGGATTGTGGTGTTGTTAAGATTTTCCTTATATCGGATGATTTGAATGGGTTACTAGTAGTATTTGCTACAATTTTTATGGTGGATTTGAGCGTGAGAGAGAGAGTTGTGTGTCCGATGTCATATATATATATATATATATATATATATATATATATATATATATATATATATATGTACACACACACAAACACATATATATATATATATATATATATATATATATATATATATATTTTATTTTCCTTATATCAGATGATTAGAATGGGTTACTAGTGGTACTGTGTATTGTTACAAGATGTTTTTTTTTATTGCTCTAGTGAGTATATTATATATATATATATATATATATATATATATATATATATATATATATATATATATAAGTTTTTGTAAAGTTTTTCAGCATTCTGGCATTTTTTTTCATTTTTTAAGGGTTAAATAATACAGAAATTGTCTTTAATTATAAGTGTTCCGAGCGCTTTCGGTTATCGTCAACCGTAATCATGGAGTATATATTGGTTTGAATATATGTTGTTTATCGTTTTAGTTTTCTGGATAATCTTAAACGATATTGTTGGATGAGTTCATTATGTCGATTAATTCATTATTGTGGATTTTGGCCTGATTCCGAGGTCTTTTTGTCCAGTTCCGTGAATGTGTTTGGCCTAATCTCGACAAAAACACAGCATATACATTTCGCTAAAACAGAATGCATTGTCATCAGCAAGAAGATAAGCCCGAAATGCGATGTGAAGGTCGGAAACATTAGATTCATGCAGACGCAGAAGTTTAAATTTCCGGGAAGGGCATTGACGGGGGACGGTAAATGTGACACTCAGATCCGTAAACGATGAGCAACGATGAGGTCTTAGGTTGCAAACAAGGAGGAGTTTTATAATTAACGTCTGGAGGATTCAGCTGAGGTTTCTGTGACGCATAATAAGGAAAGAGGGTCTAGAGAATCTGATACTCACGGGAGAGACAAAGGAAAACAATGCGTGACATAGCTGGCGGACTTAAGCAACTGGATGGCAGAATTTGGTCTGCGGTAGGAAGCAGGAGAAAGGAACTTATTTAGAGCTGCAAGGGATAGATGGAGGAGGAGAGTCATGATCGCCTACGTCCTGAAAGGACATGACACATAAAAAGAAAAATCATTTTTTACTATTGTGGAATATGTCAAAAGTATTCAACTTTTTAACCAGAAAAATCTGAAGTTGATGATAAATTTGCCGAAAAATATTGCTGATTTATTCAAGATGGAATGATTAAAGATGGAATGATCTGTTATGATATATGCAATTTAATATTTAGATATTTTGTACTTATCTTCAATTTCTGTAGTCTACTTTTTCACCGATGTTACTTATGACACATTATTGTACCTAATTAGGTTACAATAAAAATTATATATAATATAAATACAGTAGAATCCTCATATCCGGAATCCCTCATATCCAGAGTGCATCATATCCGGAATCCCGCATATCCGGACATGATTTTGATGTGTATATTTGAACTATTTGAGTGATTTGTAACTGATTTGAAATTTCTATTTTTCCGGAAATTTACTTTAGAAAATACCTTATGCTTATTTCACCCTAATGGCTTGTATCGGTGCAAAAGATGATGGGAATAGGAGGAAAGGATGACAATGAGAAACATCTGCAACAAGATAGCGACGAGATGCATGATTGTGATGAAAGCTGCACTGAAATTGAAAAAGCGATTGAAAAGGTTGTCGGTTTTATGAAAAGAAAGCTAGCATTCAGTTATGATGATTGCAATAACAAACATAGAGTGAGAAAGTGTCTTTCGTTTAAAAAAAATCAGGAACAAAAGCAAATCGAAATGCGGAAAAAGTTGAGAATGCCATTAGAAGAGAAAGAATCATCATGCAACAGCCATTAAAAAAATCCTCGTTATATAATTTGTTTTGCATACGTGGCATAATTTAATGAAATTAATGAATTTTCATTAATATTGCATATTTTTTCCCTTAAAATCAATCCCGTTATATTACAATCACTATTAGCTTATTTTGTTTACTATAAAACATTGAAAATAAATGTTAAACCTGATTTCAATTCTTTTATTTTAATCTAAATATAACTCCTGATATCCGAACTTTGTAACCAATTCTTCATATCCAGAAGGCCTTTTTTACTCCAGTTGTCAGGGATTCTACTGTACTACTTTATGAAAATTGAGATGTAGTAGT